CAGGAGCAGGGGAGGGGCGGAAAGAAGAAGAAAGGCAGTTCAGCTGAGGCGGTTCAGGTGATTGGATGTAGCAGAGGAGAAAAAATATGAAAAGAAAGGGACAGAGAGAGGAGGAAGAGAGAGATAAAGAGAAAGACACAAGGCGACAGCGAGGGAGACAGAAGCCGGGTGAAGTGACAGTGTATTGAAGTCAGGCCTAAATACAAACAGTTTTATCTGTTGACACCCACTACCTCCTGACACGGCCGTCAACTGTACTTATTACCACATTCTCTGTAGACACACCCGCCTGTCAACTCCACACACACACACACACACACACACACACACAGAAAAACCAAGGACAGTTTATTTGCCGATGCACACACACCGCATCTTGCAGAGGCTGGTGTCGCACACTCTGGGACAACACACACTAGCACCTTTGACAACTCACACAAGCAGACTGCAGTGATTTCCAATGGCAGGCAGGTGGGTGTGAAGGGTTAAGGGGCTCGCAAGTTTTGCGGGGGGGATGTTATGACAGCGCTGCAACCTGCCTACACGGGTCACTGGGCAGCTCTGAGCTCCACCATGTGTGTGTGTGGTTGCATTGCTGTATGTGTGTTCAGAGTGTGTCTGGGAGATGCTGTGGCACCAGACATTGGAGATATTTGGACAAACGGGTACATATTTACTTTGGGTTTACTTTTGCTGTAGGGGATTCATGTAGAGTGAAGTACCTTCAGAGGCTTTGTTCACTGGTGTGCTGCAGTAAGAAATATAAATCCTCCAGTGTGTGTGTTCAAATGCAGTTACACACAAGTTTTCCAAGTTTTCCTATACTATAAAGACCATTGGGGGCGGTTTAAGTTTCAGCTTCATGACATCAAGCCAGTATTTAAGATTACTTGATCTGAAAATTGATTGTTTTCTGTCGTTCTTACCACCCTGATGTTTATTCAATATGTTCATGTTTCTGGCAAGCTTGGTTTTAATTAGTTACTTGATGCTATAAAACAGTGTGAAAGGTAATGCTTGACAGCTCAGACTGACTTTTGATTGGTCGAGGGTTTGTATTGAAAGGAGCTCGCTGCCTTGGCTCCATTCCCAAATCGAGCTACGGCACAAACAGATTCTGGCTTCAAATGACGAGTCATCCATTTCTTATGGGTTGAGACAATTAGTTAATAAACAGAAAATCAAGACCAAGCAGAGCAGAGCCAAACTTTATGATAAAAGAAAGAAAAACTAAATAAGTTGCAAATTTAAAAACAATTGACTTAGTTTAGGTTTCAAGGTCGTTGACCAAGCTGTGCTTTCATTAGCTTTAACTCAAACAAATATTTTACAGATAATTATGTTAGATCTCTATTTTACTTACTAGGTTACTAAATTAGTCTCAAAGCAAATTAAGTCCAATATGTCTCCATAGGCTGGACTGGACAGTTGCTAGGCAACACATTTTGGACAGTTTGGCTGCTTTGTTATCGTGAGAACGATTGTGGCTTCTAGACATTTCAAGGTAAAAGACTCACAAACAGCCTCATCTCTTTATCTGGTATCTGCAGAAATCGACATTAAGAGACAGAAATAGAGAGGAGGCAGCAGGACATTGAGAAGTGATACACACATACAGACACACACACACACACTGTACACACAAATGTGACATTGCGGTAACACTGTGGTGACACACAGGTCTTCAGAATAGGAGTGAGCCCCTGAACCGTTTCTGAGCAGATGGTCTGTGTGCCAGTGTTTAGGTGTCCGTGTGTGTGTTTGTTTGACCCTGACCCTCTCACTGAGTGTCACTGCCAAATGTATGACCGAGAGATGAGAGACTGACATACTTTGCTATAGAAACACACATGCTCTCACACCAAACACACACACACACACACACACACACACATTTTAACACCTTTCATATATTGCAGCTTTTCAGTTTCATAAACATAAACAAAAATTGATTCCACCACAAGATGGCACTGTTTCCCCATGCTTCATCGCAGTCTGTGAAAGTGGTGATTGAGAGAGAGAGTGTGTGTGTGTTTGTATGTGTACGTGTGTGTGTTTGTATGTGTACGTGTGTGTGTGTTTGTATGTGTATGTGTGTGTGTGTGTGTGTGTGCGTGTGTGCGTGTGTGTCTTCATGAGTTCTGCAGTGCTGGTTACTGGGCCTCTCTTTAGTTTTAACTCAGATCAATGGTGCGCCCTTGTCCAGGTCTCTGCCCGTCTCTCTTTCCCATGCAAGCACAAAGATACAGAAAAACAGCCAACACACTCACACTCTCTCTCACACACACACACACACACACACACACACACACACACACACACACACACACACACACAAAAACACACACAAACACACAAAAACACACAAAAATGTATTTGTGGCAACCCCCATCGATAAATTATTCCCTAGCTCCTTACTCTACCTAAAGTCAATCCTAACTATTCCCATTAAATGTGTTAAACTCTATAACTTGAACAGGTCCTCATAAAGAGTGAAAGACCAGTACAAGTACACACACGGATAAGAACATAAAAGTACATGGATACACAGACAAGCATCTGTTGCCTGTCTCCAAACTCAGCCTCCTGCTGTGCTCACTTCCTGTCTTCATTTCACACTTGTTTCTCCAGAGGTGGTCATAAAATACTGATGAGGAACATTCTGCTTTTGGTCTCTCTTTCACTGCCAGCATAGCCAATGTAAGTTTTCTCTGTCTGCACAGCAAATATGTACAGCTTGTCTGATGCAACATAAAAATAAGCTGTAGTCTCTCATTCAATATCTATGAAATGTTATGGATTCAGCTGCTAAATGATTAACGTAGTCAACCAGATATTTTATTTACACATAACACTGTATGTGACATAGTTCTTTTTACAGTTTAGGATGAATGGTATATACATTTAGCCAACAATGCTGGAAATGATTTTATATCAGAGGTGTGTCACCTGAAAAAGACTTCACCTGGATTTAAGGCTTTAAATGACTACATGTGTCGTTAAGGTAAGTGTTTTAACATCATACCACATCATACAGGCCGTCTCAGTTGCACAAGCAGGTGGGAGTTATGAATATTCATCTCCAAAGCATAAATATGGTGATTTCAAAATGCTGATTGGCTTGGCTGAGTGTCTGTGCATGGGTGAGAACAATACATATTACATGTGTGTGTGTGGCTTGGTCTACGTGTGTGTGTTGCAAGAGTGTCGGCGTGTCATGAAAGCCGGAGGCCGGCCAATCCAAAAAGCCATGAATGTGTAAACAATGCACTCTGCAATTCCCAATCAACACCTCCACACCGCCCACGCTTCGTAATCAGAGAGAGTGGGAGAAGGAGAGAGAAGACAGAGAAGCCATCACTGGCATTTCTCCATAATCAAAGTTGACAGAGGGTAGAAATTACATAGTAATCAATGGATCTCCACATCCAGTAGAGTCCAGGTCATTTCAGTATTCTTCTTTGTTTTTTTTTTCCTGGAGGAAAACTTGGCTCAGACTGTTACAAGCAATAGCCATGTCCAAACAACGCCAGCACATAGACACCGGTCCACTCAAACATATGACACCCTCAGAAAAGATGCCAAGAGCTGTGAAAAGGAGCTAATTAACCCTGCAACACAACGTAAAGCACACTGCAGGCCCGCTTTTACAACAGCTACAGAAAGACAGTGAAGGTTAGTTAAGATGCTTTTTAAATGGGTGCTGCCTTTTTAATTACCATGCAACTAGAAGGCCACTAAGAGAATGTTCATACCTTCGCCAACGCCCAACAGTCCCCTTATGAAGCCACATTAAAATCACCAAATCCACATTTTTACTTGGATCTGCCCAAAATTGCAATCACACATAAATATTAGTCAACTTAGCATCAAGAAAATTAATTAAAATGTAAAAACACCCTATTTTACAATGTTCAAAGGATAAATAAAGTGTTCAAAATCTTCAACAGGCTGTAAAAGAATGTGTCAAAGCTAAGTTTCATGTTTTTTTAGACATTTAAAAGTTTATATTGATTTCCTAACAAAGTAAGAGGTCTGCCTCGTCTGTGTCCTTTATTCAAGCTGCTGTTTTATTTTACTCTTCTCATTCTTTACTCATTTCATCCGCCTCCCTGTGCGTTTCCTGCCTTCATCTCTAACTTCGCTGTAAACTTTTGTTTATCCACTCCACCTTCTCTTTTCTGTGAGGTCTTTTAGCTTTTCAGTTTTCATCCCCCTTCTTTCCATCACCCATCCTCTTGCATACTCTCTACCGTCAAGGACACAAACTTCAAGAAAAACTTGAATACTATGAACCACCCTCTCTCTTTCTGTCTTCTTCTCTCGTTGCACCCTCCTGCTCCCTCCCTCTCTTCCTCACTCCCTTCATCTTGTTCACAAAGATATCTGAGCGCTGATTTCCCCCATGCCTGTCAGGGCCGGACAGCGCCGGGCAACAGCAGGTAGCCTCGCAAAATATAAATGTATGAATAAGGAATAAACACCAACAACCCATGCGCACTCAGACACAGCGTGGTTGACAATCTGTTTGACCATCTGTCGGCCTCGTGCATTGACATCGTTGCTGTCTGAACTTGAGGACATTGTGTGGGTCTGTGTATCTATTCAGGTGTGTCTTTACAGCGTTGATCCATTTGATTAATTGATGGATTTTGACTGTGAAATTTAACATAAACTAGTGAGTGTTGTCCAATTTTGATGGTTTCATAATATTTTTTTTATTAATATTTTTTATATGATGTAAAAACTAAGAAATATTTCACTTATCATCTTGTGCAGCATAGATTTCAAATACAGATATGTAAAGAGTATTATCTCAAAGATATCAGAGGCCATGATTATCTGCACAACAAATCTACCACCTGCTACTTCAGTTGAAGGTTGTCAGCCCCCTAAGATGCACACCGCAGTGCACGTACGACGTCGTACAAACCCACTAAAACCCTCCTGGTGAGCTGTATTCATGGATAATCCTGTTATAATGTGAGACAGACTCTGACCTGGCAAAGTCGAGGTCGGCCTCCCTGGACATGGTGATGTTGGTGAGGTTCTGCTGGAGGACAAAGATGTTCCTGCACATCTTCTTGATGCCAGACTCACTGATCCTCTTAAAGTACTGGGCCCCGTTAATTAGAATACAGGAGATCAGGTGACCCAGACCTGGTGAGGAGAGGGGGGGAAACAATGATTGTCAAATACAGAGAGAGAAACAAATGAGAGAAGTAGACGAAGAATAAAACAAGAAATGAAAAATCTGGGAGCAACATAATTAAAACTCTAAATCCATGTGACAAAACTCAAATTCGGCTTTAATTAGGAAGGTCAATGGTACATCTCAGGCAGCTGTTCACCCCAGGTGTGAGCTGACCTTCAAAAATGTACTGGAACTTGTGCTGCTGCAGGGCAGCCCCCATGGCCTCCTCTATGGCTGAGATGTCCTTGTTCAGTTTGACCACCAGTGGGTCATAATCCATGCTCTCCACATTGGCCACAATGGCATAATTTCCTTGCTTGGTGAGAGGGATCAGATAATGGAAACAGTGCACTCTGGAATACAACAAGGAAAGAAAAGAGAAAGAGGGAAATTAGATGTAAGGATAATGTCTAAACGTCTCTATGCCTATCAGGTGTGTGGGCCCAATGTTTTTTCACAGTTCACTGTTAATATATTGAGAAAAATGACTTGTGCTGAGTTTCAAAATAAAGGAAATACAAGGAGAAGAAAGAAAGAGGCTCTTATAGAGAGATGTGTATTTTACCTATATGTAGCATATTATTTTCTGCCCTTACAACGTAGTTAGAAGTTACACTTCAGTTGGCACCGAGAGCTCTCACTTCTCAGTGTCACCCATTCCAACACCTATAATTTCTCCACAAATCATCATGTTTAGAGTACTTATATCTACTTATTCAGCTACTACGACATCGTAGCTGGAAACTATTCAGGCAGGAAATCTGATTAGTTAAGGGCAACCTGTAGAGCGCAGCGCTGAGTATACTGTTGCACTCTGAGGAGTATATCAGAAAGCTTTCATGTCAAATACATTTACAGCCTCTACTACCTTTCCACTACAACTGTGAATGCTGTCTTCAGAAAACCATGTAATTATGTTAAATATTTGAGAAGCTTATCTTTGTGCATCAAAACATATATTAGATGTTTAATTCTAAATTGGTAGCAGCTAGCTGATAAGAAACCTTGTATCAGAAAATAACCAGAATCGTGAGAAGCACAACAACCCTCTACTCTAGTTTGTCTATTCTAATATTTTATGTCAGTGGTAATGACTTGTATATCTTAAATACTAATGTTAGGACTGTGATGTTTAGAGAAGGTGAATTTTAACAGTATGCTTCTCTCTGACCATTTAAACACCTATATCTTACTCTGAGGTCCTTTAAGCCCAGAGACGGCTCATTTCTGTCTAGACTGGAGGAGTCAATTCTCTCGTAAGTCCATAATCACAGCGCCCTGAGCAGAAAAGTATAAAATGATATGAGTGGATGTCTATTCCCCTTAAGGCAAAGCCAACAACCACACCACCATCTGAAATGCCTCCATCTTACTTCCTCTCCTCTCTTTTCAATCATTTCTCTCATTTAGATACTTCTTTAACCCCCCACCTGCCATTTCAACCTACGCACCCGTGCCTCCCTCCCCCCTTCTCTTCCTCCCATCCCCTCCTGATTTCTTCCTCATGGCTTCATTTAGCTGGTAGCACTATCAGGGGAAATTCGGTAGATGGGGAGAGTCAATGGAGTGTAGCGTATAGCTAGACATCAGCCTCAGGGAGGGTTTTCAACTGAAATCATAAACAATAATGCATAAGCTACACAATAGTCTGTGGGGAAATAGTGGTACATGGAGGGGTAGAGAGGAATGGGAGAGGACTGATGACTATTAGCGGCTGTGGGAGTAGAAAGTATATGGTGTGGTAAATTAACTTACTATAGATGTTGACACTGAAAACACACTGTCAAAAGATGGTAAAAAAAAACCTGTGCATTTAGGGTGTAATTAGGATGTTGATGATAACTTTTGCCTTTAAGATTTGAAAACATCCTTTGTCCTTTTAATTCATACTGTAAGAATTTGCATTTTGTTAAGTCTTTCAGTGTCTCAAATCAGAAAAATCTAAACACTGATTCCAGATTTTATGGCAAGAAGGTGAGACATAATTTGCACAATCTTTATGGAGAGCACTTTCCCTTTGTGATGTTTGGACCCCAGGATATATTTTCCAAATCTAATATAATAAAACAAATAAGAAAAAAATATAAACCAACTTAATATGCAGGCCAATATTACCTAATCTGTTTCAAACACTATGTTTTCAGATGTTGTAGATGAAAGGACTGTACTAGTTTTGTGCCTTCACTAAAAATGGATACAGTGCACTTGCATAACAAATAATGCACAAACATTGAAATATTTTTTAAGAAATTCAAACTACAGAAAAAGAAAAGATAACATAATTGTAGAGATCACTTGAAATGTCTCTATAAAAAAACTTACATTATACATAATTACACTGATAAGAAACTCTTAACAAATGAAAATGTTAGAACTTATTGTGGCAATTTAAAACTTTGGAGCATTCAACTGCATTATATACATTTAACATTTCTGAATGTTTGTATTCTTCATGTTGTATGAGTGAGTTTCTCCTGCCTACCTGACCTCCAGGTGCAACACCAGGAGACAGCGGTCGGCAATGTCCTGAAAACCCCTGGACAAGTCAGTCAGGGTCTGGAGAATCTGCTCCCGGCTGCGTTCACTCTCACCAACCACCTGACTGTCTGCAGAGCAAGGAGACACACCTGAGTGGACAGGACAGAAAACAAGAGACACACAGAGACACTCTCAACGAACACTATTATTCCGAACAAGGGCCGAAGTAGAGGAATCATTAGGACTATTTTCAGTGTCTTAAGCTGGACGCCAACCTTGTTTACCCTGAAAACTCACACCTCACACAGTCTGTGCACACACCTAACCACTGTACCACACTGTAACCCATGGCAATACATGTGTACAATGTAATACTGGCATAACCAGGTACTGTAAACAAGACACAAGCACACACACAAAAGAAAAGCCATTATTTCAACCTGAGTCCTTCAGCATGTTCTTGTACTTTCTACTCGTCACTTGTGCTGAGGCAGCAGGAGGATGTGTCAGTGCCCCGCATTGTAAACCATACAAAAGACCTCAGAGTGTGTATGTGCGTGCGTGTGAGAGAGAGGGGAAAGAAGAGAGGGGGAACCAGAGAGCATGATGAGTGTATATAAATTCAGCCAGGTGTAGATCAATGGCCATAAATTAACAAGTGGAGGAAAAGGAGAGAAATTGGCCCCGTCACTCACATGTAAGTCTATTTGGTCAATGAGGCGAGTTAGTGTGTGTGTGTGTGTGTGTTTGTGTGTGTGTGTACAAAGAGTGACTGTTGAGCAGGAGAACGCAGGGGTTTACAATCGATGTGCCGCAGTCAAAGCCAGCTCCCCAGTTACTCTTGCTGCCCTTCCGAAGGTCACACATGGAGTCGAGCATTCAAGCACACGCTCAAAAAGACAGAGGGATAGAGTGGCACCATGTGTAAACTAAAGCTGAATCATAGAGTCTGTATGATAAAATACTTCTGAATGACACCCCCTTCAAGAAATAGAAGCTGGGATACAGGTAGACAATATTTAGCATTTATTCAATCAGTTATTCTCCGCTACGTCGCCGGTGAGAGCTTCTGTGTGCTCACGTCCATGTGTGTACATTTTATAGGTGCTGGTGAATATGTGCTTCTGTCCCAATGACAGTTTCCATGACTTTAAATGAACCCCTGATAAGATGAGACACCATTGGTTTAGGCAAACAGCAGGGAAGTATGTATCCCTGCCATCCAATTAACAAAGCAAACACAGCCAGGGCTGGGAATGTGACAACAGTGACAGCTGCTCTTATGGTCCACCAGTTGGAGGAACCCCGAGGCGCCCCGATCGGGTGCCCAAAACACCTCAACTGCATCTTTTCGACACGGAGGAGCAGCAGCTTTGCTCTGAGCTCGATGCAAATGTCTTAGCTCCTTATTTACAGGGTCGATCCCCCAAACACCTTCTGGAAGAAACCCATGTCTTTTTGGTCACTACTCAAAAACTTATGACCATATGTGAGGGTTGGGACATGGTAAAACGTTATTGGTTAAGTCATTGTTAGAGTCTTTCTTTCCTGTTTTAAATAAGTTTGTACACCGATCAACAAGTGTGGGTCGATTTAATTTATCAACACTACACCTGGTTTTTTATTGGTTGGGGAATTTTTCCAGACTTGTTCCCCAAATAACCGAAATTATAAAAGCTGACGTTTCACGTGTGTAAAGACGCATCATGAACACAAGAAGAGCTGAAGATGGAGTGCAGGAAATCCATCCTTGTAACAAAATATCTGAGTGCAAGCAGAAAATGTCATTCAACGTCAATGCTACTGTATAAAATCCATATTATATCTACTGTACACTAGGGACTGCCTCATCCACTGGCAGAATACAGACAGGGATGGATTAGATCTTCAGGTTGCAGGCATCAGTATTAATTCTGCTAAATGAGCCACAGGAACAACAAACAAGGTCGGCCTCGACATTAAAAAAATCCACAATGATTTCTCAAGGGAGTGCGGCATAATGACATAATTGACTTCATCTGATTGGACTGAGCTGAGGTTGTTTATTCTCCCTGGTCACCTTATCAGATCATTAACAGATACAGAAGCCGGCACTGACACACAATACGGCGACTCAAATATTCAGCGAGGAGCCTGAAAGCAGTGTTTTATGACATCACTGTTGGAATCAAACGAGTGGCAGCGACATCAACAAGTGTTTGATGCATCTTGCACCAGCAATACACAGACACACAACTGTAATCTGTGCTTATGCAAAGTCTGAGATAAAGCCCCTCAGAAAGGGTACTTTTATATTTGTCAGATAAAGACTATTTTCCTCACTATGTCTCTTTTCTTCACTTAGCTCATGTGAAAGAGCAAGAGTGTTCTCCCTTCAGGGGCGCGTGTGTGTGTGACAGTGACTCGAAGGCTTCTGTTTCCTCTCATGTGCATTACACTCACTCACTTTGGCAGGAAAAGGAAAAAAAAAACAGGGCTCGCTGTGGCACACACTGCTGGAGGTCTCTCCAGGGGGTGTCCGTGACAGACAGACACACACATAGCCAAAAAAGACACACGAATAGACACACACAGATTCCTGCACCGCCTCCTCCCCAGCCTGTGCTGCTTTGATGGTGCAAGGGAGGCGTCGCAGCATGGGGGGCGCCATTAGAGTCAGGGACAGACGGGCAAAAGGAGACGACTCATTGGTCCTGACTGACAACTCTCTTGCTCTCTTTTTTTCTCCTTTCTCCTTTTCCACAAACCAAATTACTCCCATCTCTTATTTATAAATTCTTTGTGTATGCATGATTAAATGTGAGGATGTTTATGTTGTGTATCTATTTATGCACCAATGTGTGGGCCTGTGTGTGTGTGTGTGTGTGTGTGTGTGTGTGTGTGTGTGTGTGTGTGTTTGCAGTACGCTTATCCAATTACTTTTGAATCCCATCTAAGAGAAACGTCTGTTGTTGCCATCTGCGGAAGATGAGGGTGGCAGACATTAAGAGAGAAGATCAGTGATGGAATTCACACACTTACACACACGTGCAGGACACAAACGCACACAAACCCGGAACGCTCTTCGGTTTTAACACACACTCACTGCCCTCTTCCCTACACAGTAAAAACAAGAAAACAATGTGATTTTACTTCAGTCACACAAACAAATACAGATGCTAAAAACATGAGGGAAAGAAGTTGTCTGTTTTGTTTAAAAAGTACAATAATGGCCTCCCTCTCAGCCAAAAAAGAGGAAAGGAAAAAGAAAATAGAGAAAGAAAAGCAAAGGACAGTATCCTGCAGGGGTGCAGTGATGAATGATTCATAAATGACTGAGTAAGAGCGGAGTTACTAATTATTTTGCTGCCTCTGGTAGAGGATGAACATCTGCACATGGGGATCTGAACTTCTGTCCAGAGAGAAAGAGGGACAATAAGAGGGGATGGGGAGAGAGAGAAAGAAAAGAATGAGATTAAGAGATTTTAATATCTGAAGCCCCCCAAATTGCTTAATGGGGTCTTATAATGAGAGAGAATAAAAAATACAATTGACATTTTGGGCAGAAACAAATGGACGGATGGAGAAAAGACAACATCTCGAACTGTTAAAACAAAAACCATCACCTCCCACTGTAAGCTGCCCCCCCCAGCCCCTGCAGCGAATCAGAATGTGCTCTTAAATGAAGTCAAGAAACAAATTGCTGCTAAAGGGTAAAGACCTACTCACCACAGTCAAGGTTAGGGAAGTGTATTCCTTAAGCCCTCAGACATGCAGCAGAGCAAACACCGAGGAAAGAACAAATGTACTCCCATTGGAAAACCTATATGATTATCATCTTGAAACCCTGTAGCATAGATTGGAGGCCTGTTGCTATGCACCTAATGACGCTTGGGCCTCGTACATGAACACACACATTTGCACACATGTACATGAAGTAGATGGAAAAAGGTCTGCGGGAAAAAGACTGCCCACTACGCAGATCTTTCACACTGATCATGATCTCCAGTTTGCAGGTTGTTGCTCGGTAAACAAAGAAACTCAGCTGCGCGACACAGATTGTAAATTTAAGAAATCTCACACACACACACACACACAGTAGTCAACTAAAAAATGTGTGTTGTCGGGGAATATTGTCAAAGTGGATTAGAAGTTCAGCTCTGCAACCAGATGGGTGATAAGACCCTTTCTCCAGCCACCTTCACGGCAAATCACCATCAGCGGTCTGTCTGCATATATACACACACACACACACACACACACACACACACA